CTCGACATGAGGAAGAAATGGTAATTCTGTTTCATGTTGAAAATATATGGAAATCTATCTCTTTTACAAAATCGGCTAGTCGGGAGGATGGATACGATTGTATTCGTAATCACCAATTAGCTTTCTAATTTGGTTCATACTGTATAGTTATTGACTTGAAGTTTATTCTCTGCAGGCATTATTGGCTAGAGAACGTGCTCGAGCTGAGTTCCAAGATTGGGAAAAGAAAGAGGAAGAGGTAGAACTGCGTTTTGTTTTTCCAATTAATTCTTCTTTTACATTGGTTTGGTCTACGTTGTTTGATATACCTGTTTCATCTGTAGTTCCATTTCGATCAAAGCAAGGTGAGGTCAGAGATCAGATTACGTGAAGGTCGAGTGAAGCCAATCGACGTTCTCTGCAAGCACTTGGATGGTTCAGATGACATGGATATCGAGCTCAGTGAACCCTACATGGTTTTCAAGGTATTTACAAAGATTATGTTAATGTAAAACCATGTTAAGTTATGGAGTTAAGTTATACTGCAAGTCTAAGCCATTAGCAAGTTAGACTTTGAGATAGCATCTATGTTTGTTAGCTTTTCTGGGTATCTCTTATAACTATTATCAACCTATGATTTATGAATAAGATAACTACCCAAAAAACGTATGTCTAGGATTTTGGCTGAATTCCCAGCTCAGCGTAAACAACATCTATGTCGTTTAGAGTACTATTTTCTTATAAGGAGAAGCTGAATGTGAGAATGATTCTGTTAGATTTGCTTTTTAGATCAATAGTGGAGATTTCTCGTTAAACAGAGTCTCTGATTGTGTAGTTCTTTGTTGGTGAACAAAGAAGGGTTTACTGGTTTAGTTTTTGTCAGATTGTTGTAACATTTATTATTAAAACTTGACGTATTATCTCCTGATATGCATGATGCAGGGACTCACTGTTAAGGATATGGAAGAGCTTCGCGATGATATCAAAATGTATCTGGATTTGGATCGGGCAACTGCAACACGCGTACAGTATTGGGAGGTATTTTCTTCAATGATTCTCATTTTCTGAATTCCAGGTTATTCATGTGTTTGTGATTTTGCATGTAAGGAATTTTGATAAAATCCAAAAAAATATCTTCTATGGACCCTCATGTTGTCACTTTTTGATGGTTGATTAGCTTTCTTGCTCCTTTTTTGTGTACAAGTAAATCTGTATGCTTAATACCATTGCATTTTTCCAGGCGCTTATTGTGGTATGCGATTGGGAGTTAGCTGAAGCTCGTAAAAGGGATGCCCTTGATCGAGCTAGAGTTAGAGGGGAGGAACCTCCTGCAGAATTGCTTGCTCAAGAGAGGGGACTACACGCTGGTGTTGAAGCTGATGTGAGAAAACTTCTCGATGGGAAGACCCACAAGGAGCTTGTAGAATTGCAGTTGAACATCGAATCACAGCTTCGTTCTGGGTCAGCGAAAGTAGTAGAGTATTGGGAAGCGGTTCTTAAACGCCTCGAAATATACAAAGCAAAGGTATATGCATGTGGATGATCTTAAACTGTTAGATTATGAAAACCGAGGCTTTGTTTTTCGCATACTTACTATCTTGATGTCAACAGGCTTGCTTGAAGGAAATACACGCTGAGATGCTGAGGAAACATCTACATCGCCTCGAGCAACTTTCAGAGGATGAAGAAGAAGTAGAAGTTAATAATGGCTTAACACGTGTGGTGGAAGAAAATGAGGAGGAGATAAACGGTGTGAATCTCTTAGATGCTGAAGAAGCATTCTCTCCAGAGCCTATTGCGGAGGAAGAAGAAGCTGATGTAGCGGCAGAAGAGGCTGGTTCGTTTTCGCCAGAGCTCATGCACGGTGATGATCGTGAAGAAGCAATCGATCCCGAGGAAGACAAGAAGCTACTGGTATGGTTTAACAGTTCCAACAATTGACTAGTGCCCATGAATTATTGATCCTTTGACTGACCTAAATATGATTGCGGCTATAACAGGAAATGAAACGGATGGTTGTGTTGGAGAAACAGAAGAAGCGGCTTAAAGAAGCTATGGCCTCAAAACCAGCGCCTGCAGAAGATAACTTGGAGCTTAAAGCAATGAAAGCTATGGGAGCAATGGAGGAAGGTGATGCTGTATTTGGCTCTAACGCTGAAGTGAACCTTGATTCGGAGGTACCCTATTGCAATTAATCTCTTCTCTATCCTGGTAACTTATCTATTCTTCCGAGTGGAAATATTAAAATTTGCTTCTTCAATAGGTATACTGGTGGCATGACAAGTACCGGCCAAGAAAACCGAAGTATTTCAACAGAGTTCATACAGGTTACGAGTGGAATAAGTACAACCAAACGCATTATGATCACGATAACCCGCCTCCGAAAATCGTTCAAGGGTACAAGTTTAACATTTTCTACCCGGATTTGGTAGACAAGATCAAGGCTCCTATTTACACTATCGAAAAAGATGGGACAAGCAGTGAAACTTGTATGATCCGGTTCCAAGCTGGACCGCCTTATGAAGACATTGTAAGTACTAGAAATATTACCGCGGTTTCTTTTATTGTTTACCTCTCGTGCTATCGTTGTGATCAATTTGTTTTTGTTTTCAGGCGTTCCGCATTGTGAACAAAGAATGGGAGTATTCCCATAAGAAAGGTTTCAAATGCACATTCGAGCGTGGGATTCTGCATTTGTACTTCAACTTCAAACGACACCGGTACAGGCGATAAACTGACCGGAGTTTGGCTAGAGAAGACGCAACCGGCAGTTATAAAACTTTGGCTACTGTTTTATTAAGCCTTGTTTGTAAGAAAAGTACGATACATAGTATAATAGTCTTGATTTTGGGAATCAAACTTGGATTTTTCTCAAGTTAAATTTTTAAGATAGTAAGAATAGTATTTGAGTATTTTCATTGAAGCTGATAATCAAACAGAACCGAATAAAATATCAATTTGTCAGCCTGATTACTAACAAAATGTGATTAATTGAACAAAGTCTGGAGATAGTGAAAATTTTTTGGTGAATTAGTTTATGTTGAAATGTTGGTGTATACATGATTGAGTGTTTTGTATTGAAGTTGTGTTTAGGTTGAGATCTCAACATCAAAATGCTTATAAAAAGATTCTGTTGGTAACTTAAGTAGTGGAGTAGAAGATATTATTTAATCTGACTTTTCATTTCTTTTTCATCTCCTTTTGATGTCTCTTTTTCTCCAAACTCCACCCCAAGACAAAAGGAAAATTTTTAATATATAAGAAATTTGTATATATTTTTTTTATAATCAACTTTTTAATTATAGTATCCAATTTCTTCAACATGTTAGTGATATAACATTCCTTCTTTATTTCCTTTTAGTTGGTAAATAAACTAACACAATCACATTTTCCATTTATGTAACAACCATTTATGTTTAATGAAGCTTTTTGTAAATGAAAATCTAGTCCATACAAAGAGTAGAGACAACCACTAAATTAAATGGTCATGGTCAACATCAGAAGCATTTGTCATTTGTAAACAATTCCCTATATATATACAACTAAACTAATTATTTTTTTTATTAAAAAAAGGAGAACGAAATTAAATTTTCCAAAACAAAAACTGCAAGAAAAAGGAGAAAATAATAAGAAGTTTACGCTATATATTATTCTTATTAATATCTAC